TTTATATTTATATTTATATTTATATTTATATTTTTATTTACATTTACATTCATATTTTGTATATATATTTGTATTTGTACTTGTATTTGTATTTATACCTATATCTATATTTGTATTCACATTTACATTTATAAATATATTTATGCATGCGGAGAAACGTGGATGTTGCGACGGATGGAAGTATTCAGATAAAGTTTTGAAGCTTATTAAAGGGTCAATTAACTTAATAGCATGTTGTCTCTACCTTCTAATAGTGTTGAAAACTAACACAAAAAGCATTATTTGGTAATTAATGAAAACGATGGAGGTGCAGCACAAAACAGCGCAGCATAGATGAAGTCGAAAGAAATGTTTAAAAATTGCATTTCTGACAGCGCTGAAAGAATTAGGTTTGGCATCGGTTTTGATTTATTTTGAGTGAAATATTTTTTAGATTATCTGTACGATTGATTGAACTAAACAAGTAAAGGCAGAAAGATTGCATAACATAAAACGAGGAGAGAAAGCGACGTAGAGAAGCGTATTCTGATATAAGATAATTGAGCAAGATAGCTTCTTGGAAAACAGTTTCTAAATTCATGGTGTTCTAGAGCGAGAATTATCTTCAAATGGCACTTTGTTATACTAATTTTGTGATGCGTTAGTCACCTACTGTTTCAACCAGATAACTTACTTCTCCCTTCTTTATGATCAGTTTTGTGCAGAAGAGCCTGGCTCTACAAGAGAGAAGAAAGAAAAAATATAGATGTATATATGTCTATGTATATGTGGTAGAATTTCGGAAGAGATGTTGTTTTGAAAAAAATTCGGTGTTTGATGTTAGGTTTCAGAACCTTGAAAAGCGGGAGTACTGCTTTTAGCACGTAAGTAGTTGCAAAAAGGAAACTGGGGTTTCAAAGAAACAATCAGAGAGATAAAGTTTTTTTATCGCGCTGTTGATTCGGGTGGTAACTAATCCTGTTGCAGCTTGCCAACAGTATAAAACAAATTTCTTCAGAATTTCAACGGTGAGACTGGAGAAATATTCAGATTTCTTGAATAGGTTTTTTTTTTTAATTTCTTGGAAATATCGTGCTTATACAGGCTACCGTATATGAAAAGAAGGTGAGAAAAATTGTTAACTTAAACACTGACTTGGAACGAGTTGAAGAAGAACTGTCTTGCGGTGTCTCTGGTTCGCTGGTCTTCACTACTGTGGTTGAGTATGCATCACCTTTCGGTTGTTTCATCTCATTCAACATTGCTAATCGTCTGTTCTTCTACAAAAGTAAAAAGCAAGGTTGCTAACGTCTTCAAAAGTTCAGTTTGTTTATGCTACAAGTCAGAAGTCTATCAACTAATAACCACTACATGGAGCTGAAAATGTCAGATTATAAATAGTAATTTGTGATGGGAAGTGAGAAGTAAAAAAAAAATTAACCGATGGGAAGTGCATTATTTTCTATAAGTAATTCTCTCGTTTACTATAATTATTGTAATATGATAGTCGGCTTAACGGTTCACAAGTTTAGTCTTGCTAGAAAAGAAATCCTATTTTCTACAACAACTCTCGCTTAATCACTACTTTCAACTGCTTTTTGGATGACTGTAAATAATATTTGGAGAAATACGGTTTTTAAGTTTTTTTCTTTTCTTTCTCAGTTATTTGATAACTTCAGCTGTATTTCCAAAAAATATAATTTTCTCTTTTTATATACTTGGTAAAGACTACAAAGTTTTATTAAGAGGCTCACTGAAATGATAGTTAGTTTGAAGGAAAGGTGACTAAATATGAATGAGTGTAAGTCAGTGATCGTTGTGAACAAAAATGGTGAAAATACAGTGTAGAAGCACTATTTGAATGGTTGTATTTGATCAAACCTCTTCACTTTTAGCAGCCAATAATTTTGCAGCTCGATAGATTCCAGAGTAGAGGTAGAGCATAACAAATAAAGTTGACCAATAATAAAATATATACATGCCCATGTTTAGCACTGGATTTGTCATAAATTGAACAAAACACTGTTCTGGTGCAAGTATTCTATGACCCGTAAATTTATCGTATCCGAATATTGAAACACCAA